CTGCTTCTCCTGCACACTAGCTGCTGGGCTCTCCTGTTTAACCTGGCTGGGTAGAGCCTGCTCTCTGGCCTCTAACAGCCCTCCCTGGACAGAGGGGACCTCCAGTGAAGTGTGAGCCCATGGGATCATGGCTCAGTCCCTGTCTCATCTCAACTATCCGGGGGAGCGGGATCAGAGCCACTTGGAGCTGAGGAGCAGCCTCTGGCCCTGGGGAGCACCACTTGCTGGCTCAGGGCTCGGGCGGGTTTACCTTGTGCGTTGGCTGAGCCTGGCTCTGTACCTGCTTCTGCCCTTCTGCTGGGCACATGAGCAGGACAGGAGACCTGTCTTCATGAGCACCCCAGATACCAGGCAGCTGGGTACCCAGGACCTKGTCCTGGTGGCACTTACGGTGTAAGGGAGAGGTGGGTGAGGGTGACCCGGACACCCGTAGGGACCTACACCTGTGGGAAGWAGTGGGAAGCCGAACAGACTGCAGGCTGGGGACCATCAGGGACCCTCTCTTGGGAGGGCCTTTGGAGCACTTGAGTGGCAAGTCACAAGCAGGAGGCTCATGGAGCAGAGCCGAGAGACACAGGGGCATCAGCCTGCCGGGTCCCACCTTCCTTTTCCATTTCTAGCACGTGCTCCCAGGATGCCTCGCCTGGCCGCRGTGATGGTCAGTCGGCTCCTGAGCCGTGGAAGCAGATGCGCTGTGACCACAGGGCCTGCCACCTCTGCTGACGGGGCCACCTGGTGGAGCGGTCTCTGGGTCTCTGTCACCCCCACCTTGGCCCAGCCTGTGGGTCACACTTACTGGACAAGCCGGTCTCAGTCCCTCCTGGAGGGCTGGGGTTGGGGGTCCCGTCACTGAGAATCAATTCCAGGTCCCACACCTCCTGTGGGCTGTCTTGGTCGTTTCSATGAGATAACTGATTGTTAAAGAAACGAGGCAGTTTGAATTCTTCAGTGGAACAAAATACATGAAAGTCCCGACATAAAACCACCACCACAACCCAAACCTCCCCACAGTGCCATTTTCTCTCTGGAGTTTGGAGAAAGAAAACAAAGTTTGGTATTTTGGAGCACCAAAAGAATTATATAGAAAAGGACAGAGRAAAAACAAGATTTTTAAGGCAAGGGGGSSYYTKTKTTWWWMTSWSACMRGATAAATTCTGTTTTCTAAAATGAATGACTATAGTGTACGACATTAGTGTCCTTAAAAAGTCCGTGTAGGCAGGAGTGGTGGTGCACACAGGTAATCCAGCTGCTCGGGAGGCTGAGGCATGAGATGGCAAGTGAGAGGCCAGCCTCAGCCACTTAGCAAGACCCTGTCTCAAAATGAAAAATAAAAAGGGGATTGAAGTAGGGGTAGAGAGCCCCTTGGCTCAATCCCCAGTGCCAAACAAACCAACAAAAAAATTGGTGGGGAACCTGGGGCTGCTGGTGCCTGGCTTATTTCACTTAGCATGCGTCCTCCAAATTCCTCTGATTTAATAAATGACAGAATTTCTTTTTACGTGGCTGGATAATATTGCCTTGTGTATATATCCCACATTTTCTTTACCCATCCATCCATCCATCCATGGATTCTGTACCTTGGCTATTGTGAATAAATCCCCCAATGAACACGAGAGTATAGGTGTCTCGTTAACATATTGATTTAATTTCCTTTGGATACCTACCCAGAAGTGGGATTGCTGGATCCTGCTAGTTTTTTTTTTTTCCTAGTTTGTTGAAGATTTCCTTAGCGGCTGTACTAACGGACCTCCCCACCAACAGTGTATGACAGTTCCCTGTTCCCTGCGTCCTCAGCGGCTGTGGCTTTATCCTCTGTTATTGGGGGTGGGGGAGGATATCTCATTGTGGTTTTGATTGGCATTTCCTTGACCATTAGTAACGTTGAGCGTTTTCACATCTGCTTGGCTGTTGGTAAATCTCACTCTTAGAAAGGTCTGTTCACGCCATTTGCCCACTTCTCGACCCGATTACTTGTGGGTTTTCTTTTCTTTTTTCTCTTTAGTTGTTTTAATTCCTTGTGTATCCTGGGTGTCAATCCCTCATCACAGGCACGGTTGACAGGTATTTTCTCCCAGTCTCTAGGTGGCCTCTCCACTGTTGGCAGATTCCTTTGTGGGACAGACGCCTTCTAGTTTGATATAATCCTGTTGGTGAACTTTGGTTTTGTTGACTGTGCTTTTAGGATCATATTTAAAAAGTATTTTCCCAGACCAATGTCCTGAAGTGTTTCTCCTGTGTTTTCTTCTATGAGTTTCTTAGTTTGGGGTCTCATATTTAATCACTTGATCCATTTCAAATTTGTTTTGTATATGGCCAGAGATGAGGGTCTAGTTTCGTTTTTCTGCGCCTGGCTATCCAGCTGTCCCAGGATTGTTTATGGAAGAGATTATGCTTTCTCTGATGTGTGTGGTTGGTGCTGTCATTGTAGATCTATTGCTCATGAATTCATGGATTTATTTCTGGGCTCTTTATTCTTTCCGTTGTTCTGTGTGTCTAYTTGTATGATACTACCATGCTGTTTGGCTCACTGTAGCTTTGTAGTATGTTTTGAGGTCAGGTACTGAGATGCCTCCATGTTTATCTGTTTGCTTATGATTGTTTTGCAGTTGGATTTGGCATCTTTTGTGATTCCATATGAAGTTTAGGATTYTTTTTCTATTTCTGTGAAGATTCATGATGTTTTGATGGGAATCACATTGAAACGATAAATCACATTGGGTAATGCAGTTCTTTTGATAATATTAGTTCTTCCAATCCATGAACATGGGATTTTTTTTTTAGTGTATTCTTCAATATTTTTCATCAGGGCTTTGTAATTTTCATTGTAGAGATCATTCACCTTCTGTTTTTTATTCATCCACATATTATTTTTTTTTGTAGCCACTGTGAATAGGAATATTCCTTTTCAGTAAGTTTGTTCTTGATGTATAAAAATAGTGCTGGTTTTTACATGTTGATTTTATATGCTGCAATTGTGCCAAATTTGTTTTTCGATTCTAATAGTTTTGAGTGGCATCTTTAGGTTTTTCTCTATATATGAGAATCATGTTATGTGCAAACAGGGATGACTTGACTTTGTTTTCCAATTTGGCCACCCCTTATTTCTTTCTCCTGTCCTACCTCTCTGGAAGAGACTTTCAGCAACACCATGTTGAGTARGAGTAGAGAAGGTGGACATCCTTGTATCATTTCTGATCTTAGAGGAAAAGTTTGCAGCTTTTCTCCAWTCAGTGTGMTGTTGTCTGTGGCCCTGTGTATCCTATATGTGTTGAGGTATGTTCCTTCTATAATTTGTTGACAGTTTTTATCATKCAAGGGATGTTGAATTTTATCCAAGGCCTTTTCTGCTTCTGTTGAGATTATCATGTGGTTTCTGTCCTTCATTCTGTTGATGTGGTGTATTGTGTTTATTGATTGGTGTATGGTGAATCATCCTTGTATCCCTGGGATAAATCCCATTTGATCATGGTGTAAGAGTCACTTGGAGAAACAGCTCAGTCCACCTGCTGGGTTTCCCTTCCAGTGGATATGAACCAAAGATCCCACCTCTTTTAAAAAAAGTTTACAATTTGTTCTTTTTAGATATCCTTAACAAGTAGAGTGTATTTTGACATACACACATGGACTATAACTTATTCTAATTAGGATTCCGTTCTTGAGGTTGTACACAATGTGGAGTTTTACTGTGGTGTATTCACATAGGAAAGTTTTGTTCAATGCATTCTACTTACTGTCTTTCCTATTCCCATTTCCCCTCCCTTCCCTTTATTCCCCTTTGTCTAATCCACAGAACCTTTATTGTTCCCTTCCTACATTGTGTGTTAACATCTGCGTATCAGAGAGAACATCTTGCCTTTGGTTATTTGGGATTGGCTTATTTCACTTAGCATGATATTCTCCATATCCATTCACTTATTGGCAAATGCCATAATTCCATTCTTCTTTATAGCTAAGCAATATTCCATTGTGTATATATACCACCTTATCTTTACCCATTCTTCTGTTGAAGGGCACCTAGGTTGGTTCCATAGCTTAGATATTGTGTATCGAGCTGCTATAAACATTGATGTGGCTGCATCATTGTAGTATGTGATTTTAAGTCCTTTTGGTATAAACCAAGAAGTGGGATAACTGGGTCAAATGGTGGTTCCATTCCAAGTTTTCTGAGGAATCTTCATATTGCTTTCCAAAGTGGTTGTACCAATTTGCAGCCCATCAGCAATATATGACTAAACCAAAGATCTCACTTCTAAGACCTCAGGAACCAGCTTGGGAAATGAATTTCTTCTTATGGATGCACATGAACTCTGAGTAACTTAGGAAGGACATTTGAGCCTTGTGCTCTTCATAGCTGTGGAGGGATGGAATCTGTAATATTCTGGTGGTAATGGGGAACTCTTCTGTGTTAGTCGGCTTTCTGTCACTGTGAYAAAATACCTGAGGAAAAACAACTTAAAGGATTGGCTCATAGTTTTAGAAGTTTTAGCCCCAAGTTGACTGGCTCTATTGCTTTGGTCCTGAGGTGAGGCAGAATATCATGGTGGTGGGAGCATGTGGCAGAGAAGGTGATACCTTACCTTGTGGTAGCCAGGAAGCAAAAAGAGAAAGGAAGGGGCCAGGGTCGAGATCTGTCCCCTAGTGACCTACTTCCTCCAAGATAGCCCCACTTCCTGTTGTTCCCCACCACCTCCCAGGAGTCTGATTATGAATCCACTGGAGAGGTCAGAGCCTTCATGGCCAATCACTTCCCAGGAGCCCCGCCTCTGAACACTGCTGTACTGGGGACCAAGCCCTGAGCACATGAGCCTTCAGGGGACATCCAGRTCCAAATCATGACACCCCCGYCCCCGTCCCTYGCTGTCCCTGGGAAGCTCCCCAGTGCCCACACGAGGGCTGTGGGCGTGGCTCCGGGTGGCTTTTCCTTTGGTCTTCTGTGGGTCTGTTAACCCTAATGGTTTCCCAGGTGCCCTAGAAAGTGACCTTTTTCTTTTTACTTTCAGCGAGGACAGAGGTGAAGCCCAGGGAGCAGCAGATGAGGACAGGCCGGGCTCCCCTGGAGAGCTGAGCCTGTGGATGATGCTGGCCACGGCACGGCTGCGCAGGCCTTCGCTTTGAGGTGGGAGGCAGGCCTCTGCGGGACAGCTTCTCCACGCCCGGTCACCATGGCTTCCACACTCTGGCTGGACGGCTGACAGGACCGTGCGCCCCGCACGCCGCTGGACTGCGGGCAGTCTGTGCACCGCCCGCTYGCAGGGCGTGGGAGCAGGGCTGGTGGGCATCAGATGCTCCCAAACGCTGGACCGGCGGAGCGATGGACTCGGACAGGCTAAGATGGAAGTGACCTGAGGCCTCGCCGGGCGGTTTCCTTGCGACAGGACAGCTTAAGAGTCAGAACACAGGCTTGTCTGGGGAGCAGTATGCAGGAAGCTGGTTTTCAGGCCACAAATGCTTTCACAGGTGAGCACCCTTCCCCYGGAGTCGGCGGCTTCCTGGGGACTTTTACTTGGTAGCTGAGACCTTCACAGCTGCATGAAGGCTGCTTGGGGACCGAGGGTGACGGAATGATGATTTGTTTGCTGTCTCTCACTCAGTAGGCACTTGGACAAAGCGTGGACCTCTYATGAGTGTGACTGTGTGAATGCATGGCGGTCTTGTGGAGGTCCTCCATCCCCTTCTCCAAGAAACTGTGTCACCTGCAGGTGACGTAGAGGGGATGGAGCTAGGAAAACTCTCCCAAGAGAAAAGCTAATTGGTGCTGAGCAGCCCCTCCCCCTGCACCTCCGGTTTCCTTCCCCTGGTGAGTGTGTGTGCTCGTGGCCACCGAGGTGGTGGGGCGACTTGGCAGGGCTCAGCTGCCGTCTGCATCTCTCTCCTGTAAATGAGCCCGGGGAGGAGCTGGACATCACAATTGAATGTTGATTTGCCCCCTGGCCGCCAGTTTGCACATTTTGCAGGGAACCACTGGGTCTGGCTRGTGCCCAGAGCCATGGCCTGAGACACAGAGGCCTTTGAATTTGGATCCTGGCTCTTTGTCTGATTCACTTAACATCCCAGGAAGCCACTTAATCCTTTGGGCCTCTGACTCTGAATTGACACCCTGGGGACTGAGAAGTTAAGGAAGCCTCAAGGAGTCCAAGGAGATTTTTTTTTTTTTCCCAGCTTATATTTTTATTTAAAAGAAAAGATGCTAGGAAAAGACTACCTTCTCCGGTCATGAGACTCCTAAAAGATGTTAACTTTTCACATTTTGCAAAGAGAATGGGCCAGGTTGTTGGGGTGCCTGGAGAGAGGGGCTGAGGCTCAGGCGTGGGGACCATGTGGATCTGGATTGGAACCGCTTTTCCACTGGCTTGATCTCTGCCCTAGCAGGTCCTCCAGCTCCTTCCATTTCCCTCTGATCGTTTGTGAGTGGATAGGCAGCCCTCTGGCTACACTGCTCCCAGGAGGGCTGAGCGTCCGTCCAGCTCAGCTCCCCTGATGTGGAGTCTCGCAGCATGGAGTCCAGTTGTGTGGCCTGACCCTGCTGCTCCGTGCCCTCACTGTGGGCATGTGGGTCAACTCTAGAGACTTCTCAGCATCCCCCTCTGGGGACGATGTCCAAGGATGTGTGGCCCAGTGAAAATACGCTCAACAGTACAGAGCAAACCTGAGCCCTCTAGATCCATCTTCAGACTTCCAGTCTTGACTCACTTAGCAGGTACCTTTGAGCTGCCTTGGCCTCCTGAGCTGCTGCTGCGTGGACCCCCCCACACTCCCCTGCAGATGGAGCGCTGTGCCCTGCGGCACCTCTGTGAAATGGCCAGCTGCACCCCTCAGCCTCTCTACTCCTGGGAGGTAGCCCAGAGGACGGGCCTCTAGAAGGTGCCTATAAGGAGGCTCTTGAAGACAGTTCTGAGAAACAGAGGAAACAAGAAAAGGAAGAGCAGCCCAGGCCTAGGAAGAGCCTCCCGCGGGGTCAAAGGCTCCTATCTGCATCTCTTTGCTGGCTCCCGAGGCTCTTGCCATGTGGTCCTCACCCTCTGGAGTCTGGTACTGGGTCGCCGTGGCTCACAGTTGGCCACATGAGGTCCTCACCAGTCCTTGGGGTGCTTTCCGGCCCTCTGCCCTCCAGGAAAGGAAGCCCAGACTSATATGAAGCTCTGTTTGAAATATTCAGAATCCCCAAGTACTGCCTAGAGAGAGGACAATGCCTCTCTCATAGGAAGACCGTGTGAGTGACAGCTGTCATTGTAATCATCACTGAGGCCAGCCTGGGAACCCCCCATCTCTGCTCAGGGCCAACCTCTTGCCGCCCCACGCAGTTCACACTTTCTTATTGCTTGGCCCATTAGGTCCTATCTTATCAGACGTGGGCCACCTACCAGAATTTAAACTGAGCAATGAATATACCATTTATGGGAACTTCTGGAATAGATGTTTTTAGAATTTTATTCTTTTGAGAAAAGTAGTAAGTGAAATAATTAGAGCATTTGAAAATATATGTATTTCCATACAGATACGTATGAACATACCTGTAAAGGATGTGTAAGTGTAGGTTATGATTTCCAACCTACTATGATGCCTGTTTGTCAGTTTCGTGGCAAGATTCACGGAGTTGAAATTTGGGACGTAGCAGGTGAACTCTTAGTTTTCCCAAGAGCTCCACTTCCCATCGTTGAGTCTCTTCCTAGTGGTGTCTGCCTGCTTGAGTGACAATAACTGTAGCAAAGATCTCAGAGAGCCTGCAGCCTGCTGGGTAGCATGCCTTGGTTGCGTGTCCTTGGTCATTCCTCATGACTCTGAGGCTAGTGTGGCTGGGCTGTGGAGCGCACTGGTGTAGCCACAGTTTGGATGTTGTTTATCACAGCCTGGCATGCAAGTGTCCACAGGACGAGGATTTGAGCTTCCCTGTCTCCTTAGGATAAACCACCTGGCCTTTGGAGGTGGGTCCCTATGAGCTGGCTCCCTGCTTGAGCTCTTGTGTTCTCTGTTGTTTGCGTAGTTTGCACAAGGGACCTGTGGCGCAGGGTGACAGGGCTGTTCCTCCCTCCCTGAGCAGCAGAGTGAAGCTGTAGTCTCTGAAGACCAGCTGGTTTTCTCTTCTTATGTTTGTTGATTGAGGTCYTATCCCAGGACAACCGAGCATTCCAAATGTTTTGGGGATTGAAGAGATAGTGATTTTGTTTATTTTCTGGGGGTAATGGGAAAGGAATCTTGCCTTAAATGTTCTAACCCCGGTGAGGCATTTATTGTTGTCTTCAAATCTTGTTTGGGGACATGGCCAAAGTTACTATGTAATTAACCATATCTCCCCTAACAAGAAATTTGTCACATGATGGTGTATGTACCGATTCTCTTTGGAGGTAGAGGCTCAGGAGGCTGCAATTTTAAACTTTTGCATAGTATCTTTTTATGTAGGTGCATTTTAAACTTGCATGCAGGAGCAAAACGGTCAGGTCTACAGATGGGAACTTCACTAACGCCACAATTGGACTTCCGACGGGATCAGTTCATCCTAACTTGCAGGCTGCACTGAAATCCATTTCTTTGTGCGTCCCTTTCACAGCGTGTGAGCTCAGAATCAGTGCTTTGTCCCATGTGGCTGAGATGGAGCCACCTCGCCTGGCTTACAGTGCTCCCTGCAAAGTGCCCCAGTAGAGGCTGCCCAAGGACCTTGTGTCTCGCAGACCTTGCTAACATGCCTAACGGTGGAGCGACTGAAAGCTCAAGTGTCCAAGTTCAATTCTTTTCCGTCCTGGCCATCTTGCTGCCTGTCTGCGGTGGCTGAGGTCTGCGTTAAAAAGCAAACTCCTAGTGCCCCTAGGCCACGGAAACAGGACCCCTCTCAGGCTGGTGCMGTCAGGTCTCCCTCTCACACATCCTAATAACCACAGAGATTTGCCTGAGACTTCATGAGCTTCCCCGGGCCTTGGGAAAAAAGCGTCCCACCGGAGCTGGCACTGTCCATGCTCCTGAGGTCACTGGTTTGTGATCCTGGCTCCTCTCTGCCTCCACGCTGCCCTTGGGTACCACAGAGGTTTGTCATAATTTTGTTGGGCTCTTTAAATCATTTCAATATTAGAGGGAGCACAAAACAAAACAGGCAAATGGATCAAATGCCTATAGAAATGATCTGAGTCTTCCCCACGCAAAGGGCAGTCAGATCTGTTAATCAATGAAGGTACTCCATCACTAAGGCAGGAGAGCGTTGGATTCTTAGTCTTCAGTACCTGAGAGAGCTGTTTTGTGGATTCTGGTGATGAGATTTTCTTAGCCACTAAGGACCAAAGAGGAAGAACTATTGCACGGACTGGTTCCAAAGAGGAAGAACTATTGCACGGACCTCAAGTGGGTAGATGTGGTCTACTAGAGGTGTGGCCAGCCCTCCGTGAGTACAGGAGTGGATTGCTCCAGGCTTCTGGTCCTGCCTATCACCCAGGCCTCAGGTTCTGACTCACCACTGTGGTCTTCAAGGTCACGCCTGGGGCTGACTCATGAATGACCCAACCCACGTTAAAGCTGCCTGGACTGTAGGAGAGATCAAAAGCCGGTTTGCAATAAAATGGGCAAGGGTGGATTCGTGGCTGAATTGAACCTGTTTCTTTACTATAGAACTTTCCAGAGTATCTTGTATGGGGTTATGTAATGGGAAGGTCTCATGGGCAGGGTTTCCCCCATCACAAGACCTTAAATGCATTTGAAAAGAGCACAGAGCATGGGCTCTCCATAGAGCATCCTCTGGAGGGGCTTCTGTCCCTCGGCCCCGGGCAGCCATCCCCAGCAGACCTGCTCTGAGTGGGCAACGCTTTACAGAGCTCGGGGAGAAGCCTGTGAGGAGATTGTCTTCCTTCCCACTTCCTCTCAAGTCCYGCCAACAGCTTTAAGGTGTGGCTTTTATTAGAACTTTCTCCTGTGCCCAAACCTGTGGATTCTTCCTGCTGCCTGAGAACGGTCCAGACTCCTCCGCCTGGAGATCACTGCCCACCTGTGGTGGAATCTCCCTTCCTTCTCTTGCTGTGACCAAAGTTCCAGACCAAGAGGACCCCCATCCATCCCAAAGTAGTCTCTGCGTCTTTCCATCTGCCTCCCCATCTTCAGGATTTAAATCTCCCTTCCTTCTCTTGCTGTGACCAAAGTTCCAGACCAAGAGGACCCCCATCCATCCCAAAGTAGCCTCTGTGTCTTTCCATCTGCCTCCCCATCTTCAGGWTTTATGGGGTTCATGAGCTCCTTTGTACCGTGCACGGTAGAAAAATCTTCCCTCTTGCAACTTAGTGGATGCAGACACGGATCAGGGCTTTTGTGAAATCTTGACTGCTCTTGCTAAACAGAGTTAGGACGGCCCTCAGAGCCTGCTGAGGTGGGTGCTTGGTTTCCAGGCTGCACTGGGTAGACAGGCTGTTTACAGGCCACCTGCCACCGGGGCCTCAGTTATGATCCCGGTTTAATCAATGATGTTGCTTCTGTGTGTAAATAAT